AGAATTGGAAGCATTTTGATAGAACATAGGCCATATTTTGGCCTTGATCCTCGTGTGATTCTGTTAGGATTATATACGGATGAATTTTTTCCTTTCAATACTTCTGGCTCAAACTACTCTTGTTGTCTTGCTATTATTACTGTGTATAATTTTCCACCGTGGATGTGTATGAATCGGAATAGTATGTTTCTGAGCATGGTGAGGGACCAAGAATTGTTCTTTTTAATTTGTATGACCAATGAACCTAGTGTGATGTATAAGACTTCATAAACTTTTATTTTTAGGACAAGTTATTTTTTTCCTTATGGTTGCTTTGGTAAACTACTAAGTATCAAGCTATTTTAATTTTTTTAAATTATAACGCACGATTTGTAGATTTTTTTTCGACATTTCTCCATTTTAGAGACTAACCAAAAACTGAAACTGATCTAACCATTGCAATTTTCGATTAGAATCGAATCGAACCATTCAACTTTTGATTTTTAGTTTGAATAAACCAAAATTTTGGTTAACCAAAATTCAGTCTGTTCAGTTCAGTTTTGATCGATTGAACAACCATAACGAGCAGGTTTCTGAACCAAACTTTATCATTAGATTTTAGTCTCACAAATCCTCCACTTCCGTTCATCTCTAAAGATACTAATGAAATTGCAATTTGAATTGTTGTAGATGGTTTCTTGGATCGATACTTCATTTTATTTTGTGTGCTCAAATTATTTTCTTTTTGTAGATTAATCATTATGAATTTTGTAGTTCTTTGACTTCTGTACTCAATCCTTGAAATGAGGACCGGTATAAGAAGTTCTAACCTTGTGGATAAGATTAACAGATTTAGATGTTAGAGTATTTATGGTGCTCCCACAATTAACATATTTAGATGATAGAGTATTTATGGTGCTCCCACAATCTTATGTTTCTTTCTTTTTTTATTTCTTTGCGATAATGTTTGTATCATGTTCAGTTGTTCATGATTATTGGTGACGGTGGTATGAGCGGCCTATGACGATTTTAATGTGCTCAAATCATCGTTGTCTTTGTTGTAAGCGTACATATGTTAATGTGTTTTTAGCATGCATTAAATGACTTCAATAATAAATATTAATGTGTACATAAACACCTAAATTACGGTTATTTTTCATGCAATTGAGAAAAAATAGGTAGAAATGAATCACATTATTAAATAAAAATCAAACTGTAGTCGGTTGTGCGTTGCACAACTGAAGACGACTCGTGAATACAATATATTACAAATAAATAATAACTAGGGATGGTATTAGGCTATTCTCAGTTGAATGATTTATATTTCAAGCTCCAACTAGACTTATTTCATAAAGGGTAACAAAAATAAACTCAAATACTAGTAATTAGCTCTTGTTTGCAACTCAGAACTATAGATCTATTCTTGCCCTCCTAATTGAAAGTTCTGGATTCGCTACTGGCTTTGCACGATACAAAGAATGAAGTTTTACCAAATAAAATGAAGCATGGAGGTTTTTTTTTTTAATTAGAACAATAAAATTTCGTAAATAAACACATATATACATATAAAACAATTGGTAACAACCGAATCAAGCAACTATGACTGAATCAAATGGGAGCTTGACATTCATCATATTTTCATGCATTATGAGTGATATACTGTGATGTTTAACCGTGTTTATCGTGGGATTGTGCACCATTTTGTTTGATTTATTAATCTATGATAGAGGTATATTTGTCGTTGGTTTTGTAGGAAATATGTCCAAAAGAGCGTTAAAGATGGAATTGAGACGAAAAACGGCAAAAACAAGGTGCAGGCAGGTCACACGACTCGTGTGGTCAGTGACACGAGTCGTGTGGGGTGAAAAGAATGGAGAATTAGCTACGGCATTTTCACACTGGTCGTGTGTCAGGTGACACGGGTCGTGTGACCTCACACGGGTCGTGTGACCCGGTCGTGTGACCAGTCGTGTGAGTCTGGGAGTTGGCCGAAAGTTCGAGGAAAGTCACACGACTCGTGTGGCATGTGAAACGGGTCGTGTGACGCGCAGAGTGACCAGCGGGAAATAGGATTCCTACGCGATTTTGTCCCTTTTTCGACCCATATTTTCCCTACAGTATATAAGGAACTTGGAGAACACGGTTTTGGGACTTTGGACACCATTGGAGGCCTAGAGAAAGCACGAAACACACAAGGGATTCGAGGAAGTCAAGATTGAAGATCCGGGAACTAACGGCGACAATAGTTCTTCTTTCTTTTCTCTTTTTCTTCTTCATTGAACTCATGGTTTTATTTATTTTGAGTATTGAGAATATGTTTAGTAGCTAAATCTCTTTGAGATTCTAGGATTTGCGAGTACTCGGATTATTTTACGAAGTAATTTTGTTTATTCATTCTGGTCTATCTTTCGTTTATCAATTTCTTGTGATTATATGAATTGTGTGAATATAGGGCCCGTATTTATGCATAGTTGTGATTGACTTGAGACCGAGAGGAGATAGTTTATTGCTAGAATTGGGAAATTCATAACGTAAGAGACTAAACAGACCGAGAGGTTGATAGAATCTTGCGAGGGAACTAGAATCTTAGGAGCTTATGGGCGTTAGTTGTTCATCTTGAGACCGAGAGGAGATAGATAACAATTAATGTCTACGATTTAACTTGTTCGAGAGAAAGGTGTAAATTACTTTAGCTATTATCCCTACGATTGGTAGAATTAAATAAGGTTTGAATGAATAAGAAAACTTCGCTAGAATAATCCTTAGGAAAGCATAGCCTAGAATCTATTTTCTCATACTTGATTTATTTAGAATAAGCCTTCTTTAGTGTTAAGAATTTATTTTGCATTCATTCTTTAGTTTAGAACAAAATCACCATTCAAATTCGAGTTAGTCTAAATAATATTTAATCGTCTATATTTTGGTACTTAATTATTTTTACAACAATCTATGTGGAATACGACCTTGCTCGCCGTTTTATACAGCTACACCGTACACTTGCGGGTAGTGAAAATAATTTACGAACAGAGCTCAACCCAAAAGAGCATAAACTACCACAAATACACCCACAATAATACATTACTTCCACTAGTGTAGTATAAACTTCTAAAAGTAGAATAAACCATCATGGATATTTGAAGGGGGAAGAAATGAAGTTTCTTTGCTTTAAGAAAAAATGATCTCTCACAATTTTGTAGAAAAAGTTTTAGATGCCAACAAATTTTACTTCGGGTCCCACTAGCCGTGCTAAATTTGTAACAACAATTTTTATGAAAAATATAAAATTTTGTACAATTTGATTTTATTGGGCTCAAACGATTTTACGGCTACAAACTCTATATGTCTAGTCTGATTCTTCTTTTCTTGAATTTGAATTTAATTCTTCGAATATGGATTTACACTTGAATAACATTGACTCAAGGGCTTGAAAGCTTTTTCTCGGATCAAATGTTGTATTAATTGAACTTCTCAATGAACCCAGTTTGAATGCCGTTTGGACGCTATTAATATTCTTGAATTGATTTCATAGGAGTGAAAGTCGTCTCTCCACCTCTTTTTCTTCTTATTGGTCTTCTTCTTCATTGAATATACTTTGAAGGCCAGGAGAATTGATTTCGGATTGAACGTTGATCTTCAACTTCAGCGTTCGCCTTGGATCTTCAAAAACGCGTTTAAATCTTCAAGAACGTCTTTGGATCTTCAAAAGAGTTATTGAGAGCTTTTGAATTTGAAGTTCGATTTATGAGGTGTATTTGATCTTTGAGGTGTTTGGTTTATGAGGTGTGACCATATTTATAGGTGTGGAATAGAGCGTAATGGAGAAGAAGACATTACTTTGATTGGTCATTCATGATTTGATATAATTCTTTCATTATCTTAAGATTTGATATAATCTCTTTCTTTATCCTATATTTGAATTGGTTGACAAAAATAGTTATCTTAGATTAATGTCTCAAAATAAATAAAAATATTAATCAATAAAATATTAAAATTGCGAAGTCTACATAACACTGTAGAGATTTTTATTGTACTATAATATAATACTAGTACAACGCCCGTGTATTACACAGGTGCTTGCTAATTTTTTTTTTAAATCTAAAATTAATGAGAAAAAGTAGTTGAAAATTTAAATACCTTTTATAAAATATATATATTATTATATATTTAGTATGACACTTTTATTTGTGCAACTTACATGTGTTATATTATAAAATTTTTAACTTACAACATATAACTACATTAAGCATAAATATATCAATTGAGAAATAATTTTATTTTTCTAATGAATTTTAATAAATATTATTTATTTTTTATTATTATAAATATAAATATAATTTATTTATTTCATATAGACAATATGGATGTCAAATCGAAGATCATCAAAAGATGATTAATGTGATATATTATATATGTAAAACCGATACGAAATACAGAAGTTATCGACTTTTAAAATACATTTATATTTCAATAGCTAATTGAAGGAAACAAATCAAAACTCAGGGATATATTAGTCATTTAGTGCCTCAGTATGTAAAATTACAAAGAAAGAAATAAAGGGTTATATTAGTACAAGTGATATTAAAACAACTAAGTTAGCTAAATAATAGTTATGGAATGTCCAAACCTAAATTATTAATTATTACTATATCAATATTATTTGTCTAAACTAATTATAAAGCATGACTCTTTGCCAAATAGGATTTCGATACACTAGAAGCAGCCACGTAAAGTCAACGCATTCTAGAATAATATATAGGGAGGACGAAGATGAGGGGAAGTTCACAAAATAGATGTAAGTTATTTGTCATTTGCCTTTTTTCTTTAGACTGGGATGTCATTTCGTCTTGTTGGCGGGCTTGATGGACCACCAGCCGGCTCGCCCCGTCAGGCCCATTTGGATAGCTGTAGGAGATGCCTAAAAACCCTAATCGCACTTATAAAATCGCACCGCAAAACCCCGTCCCTCCCATAAACCTATCACGACAGTCTTGTTGACCTACTTCTTCACTTACAGAGCAGTCATGCCTGCCAGAACTCCAACCAGAGGTACCTTAATTTGCTCATTATTCATCGGCCGCAGAATTTTCCTGTAATATTTTTTTGTAGGAGCTTATGAACACATGTATTTTCATCTGTTTGCAGGAGGCCGTGGCGGTGGTAGAGGAGGAAGGGGAGATGGCAGCGGAAGAGGAGGTTTTAGTGGTGGAAGAGGTGGTTTTGGTGACAGGGGAGGCAGCGCCATGAAGAGAGGCGTCGGAAGAGGCGGAAGGAGAGGTAGTCGCGGCGGTGTCAGGGGTGGAAGAGCTCCAAGAGGAGCAGGAATGAAAGGAGGAAGTAAGGTTATAGTTGAGCCACACAGACACGACGGTGTTTTTATTGCTAAGGGGAAAGAGGATGCGCTCTGCACAAAAAATATGGTTCCTGGTGACGCTGTTTACAATGAGAAGAGGATCTCTGTTCAGGTTCGGATTTGGGATTAAAAGGCATTAATCGTTGTTATATCTGAGTAGTTATTGTAATGGTTGATGAGTCTATAATGTTGATTTGTTCTGTCAGAATGAAGATGGAACTAAGGTTGAATACAGAGTATGGAATCCTTTCCGTTCGAAGTTGGCCGCTGCTGTTCTTGGTGGAGTTGATAACATTTGGATAGTAAGTTTACCTATCGATCCATGGTTCTAGCTTGAAAAGTTTTTTCTTCTTCTTTTATTATTGAAAAATGCAAACTTTACCTGTATTTCTGAATGAGTGGATGAAGTGATTAGAATTTGTTTTGTTCTTCTTTTTTATTTGATCAGTAAAAGCACTTGACAAATTTGCAACATACCCATTGTTCATTTGTATGTTAAACTATCCATTTTGTAGGTTATTCATAATTTTTGTTGTAATTATTGAACTACTATTAACTTATGCAATATACATTCTTTGCTAAAAGTTGAAGCTTTTGGAATTGGCCTGTTTGTTATTTGCATATGCTGTAGTTTTATTTAGTGCTTTTTCTGAAATTTATTGGTTCTATTTTATCAAGAAACCTGGTGCTCGTGTGCTTTACCTCGGTGCTGCTTCTGGAACCACTGTTTCTCATGTTTCCGACATTGTTGGCCCTGTGAGTACTGTTCAATTTTTGCAGTTAAGATCAGTTTTGATGTTTACGATACTGCTTCTGATGATTTAATTTCATATTTGCCTGCCCTTTGGCAGGAAGGGGTAGTTTATGCTGTTGAATTTTCTCACAGAAGTGGAAGGGATTTGGTGAACATGGCTAAGAAAAGGACTAATGTTATTCCCATTATTGAGGATGCAAGGCATCCTGCAAAATATAGGATGCTTGTTGGCATGGTTGATGTTATATTTTCTGATGTTGCGCAACCTGACCAGGTCTTATTTAACTGTATAATTTATCTGATTTCCCAACCATTATTAATGATTCTTCCATGTTGATACTGCAAAGTATATCATTATATGCTAACCATCAAATTCTATTGTCTCATCTTTCTTTTTCGATTTGATTCTTATATGGCTAAGGGCTACTTTAGGTGCAACACTTAATGATTTTTGTGGCTGTGTCATATGCTATTATTTCTTTGCTTAATCTTATATTTTGAAGCTGTCTTATCATATTTTTACACCTCTAACAGACACTAGTTATATATTGAATTGTTCTGTTACTCGTATACACATGTGTGTACAACCTACAACCTGCTGTCTTTTTACAATTTTTTGGGCTTTAATATGAGCAAGCATATGATGATCATACTCGGATTCCCCTTCAGGACATCATGGGTGATGCAAAAACCGAGTTTCTGATGCCTTTTTGAATTCATTACTTTTTTTTTCGTCTTTGGCGGAGTATTTCATTTTCTTGTGGAGTATTTCTTAATTTTCTTTACATGCATGCAATATAATTTCTTTTTAATTATCCATTTATGTTTTGTGACTTTTGAATTTTGATACCATTTTTTTTAGTTATTGATGGGAATTCATTTTTTTGTTGTACTTCATTTATTTTATACTGCAACAACAACATACCCAGTATATTCCCAACTGGTTGGGGTCTGGGGGTCAGTTGTACGCAGACCTTACCTTTGTAATTATACAAGGCTGTTTCCGTAGCGACCCAAGGTGCATTGCATCATTTGATATATTTTTTTTCTAGAAACTTCAACTAATAGAAGAAGCACTAAAATTTAATTGAGCCATTTTGATCTAGTCCATTATTAGCACTAGTCCATTTATTTTATACTGCATTGGCTGAAATATGTTTTTGCGAAAAGCTCATCTTGTTATGTTTTCAACTATTTATTTTGTATTTTGTATATTCAGATTTTTAATTTTCTTTATTCTTTTGCTTTAAAAATTGTCTTATGCCGACGTCATGAGTGATTTGAATCCGAGTTTCTTATGCATTCTTCGATTCATCCTGAATTCTCTTCTTAACACATAATTTTCGATTCAAATTTTCTTGAGGAGCATGATGTTGCCTAACAATGGGATGGAGTTATTGCGGGGTTTCTTACTTCATCCTGAGATGAAACATTTTGCCGTTTATTTGATTTCTTTGTTTAATGCAGGCACGGATATTGGCCCTGAATGCATCCTACTTCTTGAAAGCTGGAGGCCACTTTGTTATATCAATTAAGGTTTGAACTATTTGATTTCTTCTCACCATAACAAGTAAAGATCTTTTGAATCCTGGAATGAACAAGTAGTTTTGAACTAGCTGTGTTTTGTTTTGCAAATGAACTGGTATTTATCATTATATCGTGGCGATTGAATATGTAGAGAATGTCAAATATCTTCCAAAACATGTAGCCCAGTACAAAATTTTCAGAGGAGGGCGGCATTATTATGCCAAAAAGTATTTAATTTTTATAGTAAATAGTATCAACCTTGTTTTTGTTTACGCTCTCCTTTATATTTATAGGCGAACTGCATTGACTCCACTGTACCCGCAGAGGCTGTATTTGCCCAGGAAGTTAAAAAGTTGCAGCAAGATCAGTTCAAACCTGTTGAACAGGTTACACTGGAACCTTTTGAGCGAGACCATGCTTGTGTTGTCGGTGGCTATCGTGTGCCTAAGAAACAAAAGCCCGCAACCTAAACCTCCTTTTCTTGGCATAGTTGATGTAATGTGATCTTCTATGTTAGACCTCGTTATTTAGATCTTTTTAGTTTGCAGCATTTTCCTTTCAAAAATATTGGTTTGTGATTTTAGTAGAGGTGCAAAGTGCAGACAAATGGAAATTTTCGAGACCTGATGTCATATGGAGAGTTGTTCGTCATGTTTTTTTATATAATGTTTGATATTTGGAGGTGGTATTCGGAGTATTTTGTCACGTTTTTATATGATGCTCAATACTAGGTATTATTTTGAGTAAATTTATGTTTTTACTCCACCTGACGGTATCATATTCTATCCTCCACAAATTTATCATAGAGAGACCTCCAATCTATATGGAGGTTATTATAGCTTCATGTTTATTACATCGATGATAAGGAAATTTTTCTCTCTCCTACACGATTAGAAAAATTTTGCTAATTTACCATATAAAATACAGTTAATTGCGTTTTCACTTAAAAAGATAATATTTATTTAAATTAATGTCTAAAATCAGTTACTATATCATTTCAACCTACCTTCTTTTTATCGCTTGATTTGTGTCGGTTTGTTTATGGATTCAATTAATTTTTATTTGGTTTCTTTTTTAACTTGGTTAATTTTGAAAAAAATGTGTTATGGTTAGTTGTTAGTAGACATATTAAAATAATATTTAAATAAAACAATTAATGTTAATTTGATGTAAAGTAGGAGAAAAATGATTAGAAGTGATGATTAGTTAAAATTATGTGAGTGAATAAATATTAAATTAAAGTTGATGTGACTTTTATGAATTATTGGTTGATATTATTTAAGAAAAATGCTACATGTACATAATAAATGTACATAAAGATGTACATAACACTCACATGGAGTGAGGTCCACTTGATTTTTTAAATTTAGTGGGTCTCACTCAATGTGAGTGTTATGTACACCTTTATGTAAAATATTATGTACCTCTAGCATACTCATTATTTAATAGACAATGTTTGAGGTACATACAATATTACATAATCGTGTACATAATGATGTGGTGACGATAATTTAAATTAAATTTCTCGGCTATCACTTTTTTCAATTACTCCACAATTAGTAAGTCTAGTCATCTTCTCTCTCCATTTCCACCGTTAAAATTCACCTTCATTCTCTGACTCTCAAAATACTTGGATGATGAATTGAAGACCGATTATTTGATGTGATGTAGAATGATTTTTCGATTATTTGATGTGATGTCGTATTGTTTGTTAATGCCTTCGATTGAGTCCCAGGCCACCGGCACGGGCTCGGTTTTCATGGCCCAGTAATCACATATTATGAGAAAGAGTTCACCGTCCACACTGTTGTATTTCAAATTGTCGAGCACGAGGCGGCGATAGAGGGCGTGGGCTAGGATTTGCAAATCTCCCGACCCTTGTTTCTTCCATCTGTAGTCGATTCCGAAAGGCTCGTTGAAAAGTGCTTTGCCGCTCACAGGATAGCTTGAGCTGTACAGATCAAGAACGAATTCGGATTTCGGGTCAGGTAGTTAGACTATTCGGATCAGCTCGAAATACTCGGTGGAGCTGCTGATGCTATTTTTGTCCAGGGTTAATTTTGCAGGGGGCGAGGCATACAGAAGCCATGTCTTGCTGTTGTTGAGCTTGATTGTGTATTTTGTGAGGTCGGTGTTGGGGACCCGAATCGTGTGGTTTGTGGAAATCGAGAGAGAGACCTTACGCCTGATTTTGCAGGTCACGAAGGGGCTGCCGCGGATGAGGTAGATTTTGAGGTTGTTTGAAGGGAAATCGAGCGTAACGTTGAGATCGTTGTACTTAGAAATCACGGGCTTCGCGTTCAGATTGGCGTTGTTGATGGTGGAGATGGCGATATCGGCGGCAAAGATCAAGTAGAAGAAGACAACGGTGGTGAACGGGGAGAGGGATGGGTAGCACTGGGTAAGCTGTGACCGGGACGACTGAACGAGGTACGAGTGGAAGTACTCCGGCTGGTTGCCGTTTTCGAGGACAAAGTTATGGAAGAAGGGTGGAGGTCTCTCGTATGTTTGTGTGTCATTTGAGTCTAAGTCTTTGGATTGCGTTGTGTTGGATTAGCCATTGTTTAATAATGGTGGTTAACTTGTGGTGTCATGTCTACCTTTCATATTTTCTATGCATTTGTGCACTATTATGATCTCTACTTAAATAAAGTACTTTTTAATATGTTGTTGCGTAAGATGAATTTGATTAGTGGATTTTAATATCATTTGAGAATCTGTGATGGCTTAACTTAACTTGATTGGTGGTGTTTATGAGAATGTTTAATGGGATTCTGATTGTGGTTTTTTCATGTGAGATCATGTTCACAATTGAAGATAGGATAGGATTCATTGTGGTTGAATGTTCAATCCATGCTAGTTTCCATGTTGGTGCTGGTTATGGTTATGACAAAGGCTCATAGTTTACTCAATGAAATGGTAATGAGCTTCCGCAGATAAGTTGAATCTTCCACTACAACAGTTGTTATAGAACCTTAACATAATAATGGTTAGACTTAGTGGAAGGATATACGGAACTCAACCCAATGGTTAGAGACTTACAGAGGTTGGAGAGTATGCGCGTCGACACAAAATAGTTACTTCCAGGAGTCTACAGACTTGAGACATACATGATTTTTTTTTACAATAAAACATCAACTATATATAAAACCTCAAAGGAAGATTTACAAGTCAATCACCAATGGCGACTAAGGTCCCCTAACTATTACAACAAGATAGCTAGGGCACTTGTGAAAATAAGGAAATTTCCCCTCCATGAAAACACTAGAAAACAAAAGGCCAAGGAAACCAAAAAAAA